CGACCGTTGGTCGTCCGTTGTCGTCGTCACCGTCCATTTCAAAAACAATTGCATCAGGAGCGCCCCGGATCGGCGGCACTGGCCGGAGGCCACTACAATATACATCTATGCGTTTTTCCCTCAAAGCCTGGGAGTCGCAAAACACAGACTGTACACGCGGATGGTGGCTCCTGCTAGGCAGAAGCTCGGCCAACTACATTGCCAAAGCGGTTGCGGGCAGCGCCTTTGGCTATGACGTGGGATCGGCCGCTGCGTTGAGCGGCTCGGCCAAGCTCCCTCGCCACCGTGGCTGGCGGAAGGCGCCAGCAGTGCCGGAGGACCCAATCCCTGCATCGAGGGCGGCGCTGGTCTGACAGGTGTGCAAAACAGCGGACAGGCTGGACAAAGTCGGTCTGGCAGCAGGGACAGACGGCGGACGGGACGAACTCGCGGATTATATTCCGCTTGAGGAGTTTGACCCTCGCATGAGATTCAAGAGCACGTGAAGACACAAAAGCGCACTCACAATCTGGACAGACAAACGGGCGCACAGCGCCACAACTAGATGCATCCTTCTGGCGATCCCCCGTTTCAGTCCAGAGAACAGCACCACCGACAGGCAAATCAAGGACCTGCTGCAACAGCCCACCCTCGACTGCCTCCTCGCGCGCGCCCGGCTTGCTTTAGCTGCGCGGGTGTGCCGCGATCGTCCGGCTGAGCTTTTAGCGCTCCTTCATCTTCGTGTCGGAGGCGATTCCGGCCGCTTGCCATGGGTCACCCAGCCGGCCAGTGATGTCGATGTACTTTTGAACGTCTTTGCGATTAGCCAGTGGCCTTCCCTATTCGCGGCCCCGCAGTTCTGGCACGACAAAATGTCGCAGCCCAGTGAGTGGAGCAAAATGCTGGACGCACTTTTCTTTAAATATGTATACATATATATATATATATGTATATATATACACATATATGTATACATAAATAAACATATATATATATATGTATACATGAATATATATATATATATATATGTGTGTGTGTGTGTGTGTGTGTGTGTGTGTATCCGCCACCGTGCCGCTGCGCACGGAGCTGGCGTGTCCTCACCCAGGTACTCTACTTGACTCCATCAAACATTCCTGGGCCGCAGATGCCGAAATCACCTGACATTTTCCGCGTGCCCTCAAGGCTTCCTCGCGGCTTGCCGCATGACTTTTGCAACCCAAGACGACCCCAATACAAGCCACGAGGGGCCCAGTACGGCTTCAAAACGGCCCAAGAGGGCTCCAAAAGGCTGATGCGCCCTGAGATATGCCCACGACGCTCAACATTATCCCAATACTTCCCCAGAGGCCTCCAACACGGCCCCAGAGGCCTCCAAGAGGCCCCCCAAGAGGACCCCAAGAGGCCAAACCCAAGTATTTCCATTCGGTCTTTGGAGTATTGGGGAGTTCTCGCCTTTTCTGCTTTCCCACGCTCCAAGACGGCCCAAGAGGCCCCCCGAACCACTCCAAGAGGGCCCAAGAGGCCTCCCAGAGGGCCCCAAGGCGGCCTAAGAACGCCGCGCCCAAGATGGCCCAATAAAGCCCAAAACGGACCCAAACACAACCCACAAGAAGGAACACGAACCGAACATCCGAGCCTTCTGCCCATAGAGGCCCCCTGGAGGCCCCAACACGCGTCTAAGAGGCCCCCAACAGGCCCCCAGGAGGCCCCAAGAGGCCCCCAAGATACCCAACAAATCCCCAACATGCCCCGAAAAGACCGAAGAGGCCTCGCAACTGCTTCCAAGAGGCCCCCGATAAGCCTCCCACGAGATCCCAACGAACATCCAATAGGCATCACACCCACAACCCAGGCACGGTTGCGCGATGGGCCGGACGTCATCATGCATGCACATACATAAGAACGTATGTGCATATAACAGATGTACATGTACATGTGTATACACACATGTATGGATGTATACGCGTGTGTATATATATATATATATATATATATATATATATATATATATATATATGTGTACGTGTATCTGGACAACCCCCCAGCATCCATTATGCGCCGTCTCCTTTCCGCGAGGCTGGAGTCGTGCCGCTCCCCTCCTGTATCCCTTTCCGCTCCGCGCCTCTTCTTCTTCGCTGAAGCCTTCGCCGCATCCGCCAGCGGCGCATTCTCGACAAGCGCCAACGTGACAGATGCAAGCGTCTGCTTCCTCTACATAGAGGGGGAACAAGCGTGTGAGCCATCCTGTAAACGAGAAATCAGCAAACTCTGCGATTTCACCTGGATTCCAGGGATTTCTGTCATGCTAATCAATGAAACCATTTTGATTTCACTAGGGTTCCTGGGATTCCTGCGATTTCAAGCCCTGGAGCAAAACCAACCTTGAGAGCAAAACCAACCTTGGGATCCCCAGGAAGTCCTGGGCTCACAACATCCCAGTGAAATCACACGGTTCGAGACGTCGGTGATGCGCAAACTTTGCGATTTCACTTGGGTTCCTTGGATTTCTGGGATGCTAATCAACGACGCCCTGAGATTTCACTGGGACTTCTTGGATTTCAAGCCCTGGGGCAAAACCAACCTTGGGATCACCAGGAGGTCCGGGGCTGAGAAGCCCAAGAATCCAAATGACATCGCAAAGCTCGTGACGTCGGTGATGCGCAGACCCTGCGATTTCATTTGGATTCCTGTGATTCATGGGATGCCAATCGACGAAACCCTATGGTTTCACGGGGACGCCTGGGATGTTCAACTCTGACCTTCTGTGACCCAGGGGCTCGCTCTTTGTTTTCGCTGCAGGGTATGAAATTGTAGGAATCCTAAGAATCCCCCTGCAATCACATGGTTTCGCTGATTTACATCCAAGAAACCCCAGGAATCCACATGAAATCGCAAGGCTTGCGCATCACCGACGTTGCGAACCTTGCGATTCCACGGGGATCCCTGGGATTCTGCGCCCTGGACCACCTGGGGGTCCCAAGGTTGGTTTTGCCCCGACGCTTGCAATCCCAGGAACCCCCGGAACGCCAACGAAATCGCCAGTTCGTCGATTTGCAACCCAGGAATCTCAGGAAATCCAAATGAAATCACACGGCTTGCGCATCGCTGACGTCGCGGGCCCTGTAATTTCACTTGGATTCCTGGGATTCTGAGCCCTGGACCTCCTGGGGATCCCAAGGTTGGCTTTGCTCCAGGCTATGAGATCCCGGGAATCCCATTGAGATCGCAAGGTTTCGTTGATTTGCATCCCACAACCCCCGGGAATGCCAATGAAATCAGAAGGTTTGCGCATCACCGACGTCGCGAACCCTGCGATTTCAATTGGGCTTCTGGGATTATGCGCCCAGGACCTCCTGGGGATCCAAGGTTGGTTTTGCTCTAGGTGCAATTCCAGGATTCCCATTAAAATCGCAAGGTTTCGTCGATTAGCATCCCGGGAATCCCAGGAATCCCAATGAAATCGCAGGGTTTGCTGAATTCTCGTCTACAGGATGGCTCACACGCTTGTTCCCCCTCTATGTAGAGGAAGCAGACGTTTGCGTCTGTCACGCTGGCGCTTGTGGGAAATATGCCGCTAGCGGATGCGGGGAAGGCTTCAGCGACAAAGAAGAAAAAGAGGCGCGGAGAGGGAAGGGATACAGGAGGGGAGCGGCACGATGCAGCCTCGTGGAAAGGAAGAGGGCGAATAATGGGTGCTGGGGGAGAGGGCTGCGCATACGTGTGTGTCTATATATATATATATAAAAGCATGTACATGTGCGTATATATACATTTATATATAGATATATGTAAATGTATATGTATATGTACACGCATGTATGCAATCATGCAGTTATATCTGTATTATGCATGCATGCATGTATTCATGTATGCATACACGTAGATGCAAACTATATCAACTTACACATACCTACCTACATCTACATATATGTGTATATACACGTATAATATACTTATGTATATATATGATCTGGGTAATGGCTTTGTGAATCGATTGGGCTTCCTGGGTGAACCCTGCAGCCCGAAAGCGTGCACATCAGCATTAACATCAAACGCTGTTCAAATCATGACGACATATCGCACTGAATATACTGCCCCCGAACACTGGGCCCCTACCACAAAACACGTTATGGAGCATACAGTTGCCGAGAGATTGCAGCGAAGCAATGCCCCCCTCAAATCCCAACTGGGAAGTTGTCGGGGTGAATTGCTTTCTCAGCTTTGGCCGCGCATCCCACTCTACAGAACGCCAGATCGCGAGATCCCCTTGTACTGATGCTCCAGACCTGTCGTACAACACACTCGACTCAAGCCAACAGCACTGAATCATCCGAACCTGATTGGAAGCAAGCCAAGTCTCCAGTCGGTCGATTACGCATGGCGCATATGCTTCTCCATGCGCCGAGCATGCCGAATTGGTGGCTTAAATGCCACACCGTTGGGTCCAGAGCGGCGCTGTGCGTTCCATGACATCCGAAGTTGCGAAACATGCACCATCGCGACACAACTTACGACCACAACACCAGACACAGTCCTCTGCGGCATCTTTCGGCGCCCGACCGATCTGTGAGGGTACTGGGACCTGACACAGGGCGAAATCGCCCTTCCTCCTCCGCCTCCTCCTCCTCCTCCTCCTCACACCCACGAGGCAGAAACCGTCGAGCACGGTTGCTGTCGAGCTGCGGCGGCTGAGCCCTGCCCGCATCACTGGTCCACGACGCCCAGGGTGGGATGCGAAATTAGCAGCGCATGGATCTGACGGTTCCTGCCTTCCCAGTCTGTCCCGTGGCAGGCAGCGTTTCGATCCGCCCCCCTTCTGGCCATCGCTCGGACGTCCATTCCCTGTGTTTTTTTTCGGTTTCGTGTGTGTTTTTTCTCGCCAGATGATCAAGGATGCTCCTCGATGGTCCTCGCCGAAGGAAGAACGCGCACGTCCGAGCGATGTCAAGCCTTGGCGCTTCCAGCACAGCATCAGCACTCACGAAGCAGAGCAGGCAACCAAACGCCATCGGGCGAGGGTCCTGCTCGAGAGCACGCTCGGCTTCCTGCGCCTCCTTCTCGGCAGCCTTGAGCTCATCGTCCTGCGGCCAAGATGCCGTGCAAACACGTGCTAGCTGGAACTGCAAAGCGAAAGACGAGCATCGGGGACACGACGAATCCGCATCGTCATGCATGTGTTCGTTTATGTGCGCGCACTCGCGCGCCCACGTGAGCATGACATGGGCGCGAACCCACACATTTGACGCTTCTTTTTCTTCCTGTCCCTACGGGGACCCATGGCCTCGGGGATCCGAGGAGAGAGGAAGGAAGGAGAAGGATCGAGGAGAGGGGAGGAGGAGGGAGGACGAAGGAGGAGAAGGGAGGGAGAGGAGGAGGAGATGGGAGGAGGAGGGGGAGGAGATGGGAGGAGGAGGAGGAGGAGGAGGATGAGGATCCCTTGCAGCGGACGGGCTCGCCATTCCCGGATGATTGTTGATGGCCTCGGGGTCCGAAGCGAGCCTCCGGGCGCCGAGCATCAAGTGAAGGCCTGCGCACTGCTGTTGTTCCGCGACGTTGGATGTCCAGGACTTTTTGCGTGTTTGCTCGTCGCGGCGCGGCAGAAGCAATCCGCCCGCGCGCGCTAGCAGTGGGGGCGGAACGTACTCACTGTACGGCCGCAAGGGAAAGAGACTGGGCAGAGGGCGGCCGCGGAGTGAGGAGGAAGGGGGGATGGCACCCACAGCCTCAAGGGGGTTGGAGGCCTGGGAACATGCGTCATCCCGTTTGCCCTTGTTGATGTGTCAGGCCTTTGCTTTTCGTAGCCTTGCTCTCGTCAGAGGCTGGCCTCCCCGACGCATCCAGCCTGACATGGGCTCTTGCCGGGAAGTACTGTGGGGCAATGCAAAACGGGACTGTCAGACAGGAAGAACGTCCGCGTTCCTTCTTCACCGTGCCCCGATTCCCCCTGCCAGCCAGAAGGCTGCGTCAAAATCCGCCGGCCCGGCGGGCCAGAAGCGAGTTCAACTTTCCCGTTCGCGCCCGCGTGGCGGCCCCAGGAGGTTCTCGGGGATGGACAGAACCCCCTTTAGTAAAACGCGGTTTAGAGAAAACGACCTGAGGCCCAAACCTGGCGGGCGCAAGCCTGGAAAATAACGGCCACTGCGCCCTCTCGAGAACCGAAAACGGACAATTCACTAATCGACGTGTCCCTGTTGGGGGTTCTGTCCACCCCCGAAGGTTCTCGGACGAAAACATGTCCCGGGCAAGTCCCGGCAGCGTCCCGGCAGGGTCCGGGCCACCGATGCCGCAGCTCCTGGGGGGCCCCACTGCGCGCCGACGAGGTGCCGAGCAGGTCGAGGGGCCCCACGGCCTCAGGCCGACAGCGTTGCGATGCGGCCCAAGGTGGATTCAAGACGGCCCAAGGGGCGCCCAATATTACCCAAGAGGGGGTTCAGGGATCGTTTTTTTTTGAACTCAAGGGTCATACAATTCGTACTGGGGGGCTTAGACATTTGGTCAGCGGGCGACAGAGAATCCCGATGGTAACAAAAAAACACTCCTGGCCCCCGACGTTCCGATCCGCGTGAGACGTGCGCCGAAACGTGTTGGTGGACTCCGCCTCTCAGCCCGAACCCTGGGACGCGCGGCGGCAAGCGGCGGGCGCGGGCACTCCGTCTCTTGGATCACGCCCCCCGATGCGACGCCTGCGTTACCCTGTGGAAAACGATGTGCGTACGCGCCTTTATCGCACGTTGGCCCATCGAGCCTTGCTGAGGTCCTCCGCGTCGGCCCCTGTCGGAGCGATGACGATGCCCTCGGACAGGAATCTATGCGCCTTAGTAGGAGGGACGGGCAGCTCGAGACTGTCGTGGAAGTTCACCTCGCGAGAGGTCCCCAGAAGCACCGCCCAGGCAACGCGCGCCAGCCATGCCTGAAATCCCCCCCCACTTAAAAAGAAAACCAGCAAAAGTCTGATTGCCGGCGCGCGCCCCCAGGACTGCGGTCTGAGATCTCCCCCAGTCTTGGCCTGCGGGAGGAGGACCATGACCAGGACCAGGCCCAAGACCAGGAGCAGGAGGAGGACGAGGACGAGGAGCAGGAGGAGGAGGAAAAGGAGAAGCAGCAGGAGGAGCAGCACGAGGAGCAGCAGCGAGCACGCGAAGTTCCCGACGAGACCCCCTCTGCCGCTCATCTCGAGGACCTCTCTCCTGGCGCTCCGCGATGCTCCCGTTCGCGCACGCGTGGCCCCGGGCTGGCGATCGCAGCCCCATGCCCCGCTGGTGCCCCGCGGGGGCTCGCCGCCGGGTCGGAGAAGGAATGGCTGTAATTCGCTGGCGAAGCCGTTGGCATTCCCCCTACAGGGGGACTTTGGGCGCAAAATTAAACATACCCCACACATGCCCCCAAACAGTCAACAAAAACAATCAAGAACGCGCCTCCGGACTAATTTGTTTAGACTACTTTTGCATAGCCCTCCTGCAGAGGGACAGGCCCGGCTTGAACATGCGCACACCTGGCGCGCCCTCCAACCCCCTTTCGGCGGTGGACAAACCTCCCTTTAGTAAACCTCCCCTTCGTGAAAACGGCCTGGGACCGAAATCGACGGACCTGGACCCGCAAAAATGACGGCCGCGACGCCCTCTCGCGAACCGAAAACGGCCGATTCCTTCATCGACGTGTCAGGGTAGGAGGTCTGTCCACCCCCGACCCTTCTCCGCAGTCAAGAAACCATCAAAAAAACGCGTCCCCAGACTAATTTGTTTAGACTATTTTTGCATTGCCCTCCTGCAGAGGGACAGGCCCGACTTGAACATGCCCACTCCTGGCGCGCCCTCCACGAGGGGCGCCCTCCACGAGGGGCGCCCTCCACGAGGGGCGCCTCCACGAGGCGCGCCTCCACGAGGCGCGCCCTCCACGAGGCGCGCCCTCCACGAGGCGCGCCCTCCACGAGGCGCGCCCTCCACGAGGCGCGCCCTCCACGAGGGGCGCCGCAGCCGCAACCGCACCTCCACGAGGGGCGCCCGCCCGTGCCCCGCCGAGGCCGCGGCAAGGGCAGCCCTGCGGGCGTGGAGCGGCCGCCGCCGCCCGGGCCCGCGCGGGCGCGGCGCGCCGGAGGCCCACGGCCCGCGCCGCGGGGTGCATCGATGTGGACGCCCGAAATGGGTGCGGAAGGAAAGGGTACGGTGCCCAGCAGCAGGTCCTGCTCATTCCGAGCAGGACTCGCTGTGGGTGCCGCCGCGGCCTGTGTCCACTTGAGACAGGAGGCCGCCTGCCCGACAGCGGCCGCTGTTGGTCTGGGACAACATTTGTTGTTGAGCATTGTGCCCATTTTTTCCGTACCCATTCCGGGCGTCCAAAATCGAGCAGGGACCGACCTCCCCGGCATTCCTGGAGGCCTACCACCGAAATGTCCGTAAGAACCAACGAGATTCCTATAGGGAGCGACCGTCCCAGCATTCTTAGAACCCGGAGATGTGCCAAGAACAATTATCCTGGCGAAGGACCCAACCATATGCAGTTGTGAGTATCGCAATTGTGAGTATCTTCTTCGGTGGCGCTCCCTATGGGGCCACGAACCGCATGAGGGGTGTGCCGAAATGTGGCGGGGTACACGACGCAAAGGAATACGATATATCTGATTACGAGAGAAAGAACGCGGGTGAGTCAGAGCGCGAGGGAATCTGAGTATGAATGGGTCTGCGCGCGAGTGAATATATTTGCATGAGTGCGATCATGGAACCGCCTAGTGTAAGTGTCGAGCATGCCTGTCCGAACACGCGTGACACTGGGCGTGGCCGCCGCAGGCAGCTTCCGCGGGAACCCCGACGGCAGCGTCCGCACGTCGCGACGCCCATGTCGGCACGCCTCTTGCGAGGATCGCGCCCGCTTTCGGCTCTTCTTTTCCTTCCTCTTTGCCCGCGCACTCCAAAATCCAAGGCTGCGGGCGCGGCGCAGCGCGGAGTCCCCGCGACGCGCGCTGGTCGCCCCGGGCGGGGTCCCAGCGACGCGCGCGGGTCGTCCGCTGCGCGAAGCAGAGAGAGCTGACTAGCTAACTGGCTGGCTGATAGCGGGCAAGTCTCTGACCGCTGGGCAGAGCGACGACGGGCGAACGAGGCGCCGGGCCCCCCGCAGCACGGAGTTCCCGCGACGCGCGCTGGTCGCCCCGAGAGGGTCCCAGCGACGCGCGCGGGTCGTCCGCGGCGCGAGGCCAAACAATTAGTCGGGCAGTCGAGAGAAGGCGCGGCTCGGGGGAGACGCTCCTCAGGTCAGGCCTCGCGGATGAACTCGGTGAAGCCGAGCTCCCTGGCGAGGGCCGTCGCTTCCCTCCTGCACCGCTTCGTGCGCGCCGCAAACTGCTCCAGCTGCTTCCGCAAGCCCTGCGGCGGCCCTGCCAGGAAGAACTCGATGCGCGGCGCCCGCATGAGCAGGAGGTCCTCGTGGCGCGTGGCGCGCGAGAGCAGCACGTAGAGCTCCAGCCACCAGTCGTCGTCCTCCTTCTTGCCGTTCCCTACCTCGTGGCGGCCGCAATCCAGGATCACGCCTGGGCGACGTCGACCGAGGGAGCAGCGCGCCGGGCAGCCGACGGCCCAGGGCGAGAGTCCACAGGACCGAGAGATGGTCTGGCCGCGGACTGCTCGCGCCCTGGAGGTCTGGCCGCCCCCGGAGCGCCGTTCCCCCGCCCCGTCGCCTTCGCGCATGGTGCGCCCCTGGCACGCCACCGTGGTGATGACCCTGCCGTGCGAGAAATGCGGGGGGTGTGCCGAAATGGGTGGGGGTGACGCACGCACTGAAGCGGCGCGCACTGGGGCCTTCGGTGGAGCTCCCTATGGAGCCACGAAACGTGTGAGGGGTGTGCCGAAATGGGTGTGGGGACGCATGCGGCCGCGGGCACTGGGGCCTTCGGTGGAGCTCCCTATGGAGCCACGAAACGTGTGAGGGGTGTGCCGAAATGGGTGTGGGTGACGCATGCGGCCGCGGGCACTGGGGCCTTCGGTGGAGCTCCCTATGGAGCCACGAAACGTGTGAGGGGTGTGCCGAAATGGGTGTGGGGACGCATGCGGCCGCGGGCACTGGGGCCTTCGGTGGAGCTCCCTATGGAGCCACGAAACGTGTGAGGGGTGTGCCGAAATGGGTGTGGGGGACGCATGCGGCCGCGGGCACTGGGGCCTTCGGTGGAGCTCCCTATGGAGCCACGAAACGTGTGAGGGGTGTGCCGAAATGGGTGTGGGGGACGCATGCGGCCGCGGGCACTGGGGCCTTCGGTGGAGCTCCCTATGGAGCCACGAAACGTGTGAGGGGTGTGCCGAAATGGGTGTGGGGGACGCATGCGGCCGCGGGCACTGGGGCCTTCGGTGGAGCTCCCTATGGAGCCACGAAACGTGTGAGGGGTGTGCCGAAATGGGTGTGGGTGACGCATGCGGGCCTTCGGTGGACTGAGGGCCCGGCATGCGGCCGCGGGCACTGGGGCCTTCGGTGGAGCTCCCTATGGAGCCACGAAACGTGTGAGGGGTGTGCCGAAATGGGTGTGGGTGACGCATGCGGCCGCGGGCACTGGGGCCTTCGGTGGAGCTCCCTATGGAGCCACGAAACGTGTGAGGGGTGTGCCGAAATGGGTGTGGGGGACGCATGCGGCCGCGGGCACTGGGGCCTTCGGTGGAGCTCCCTATGGAGCCACGAAACGTGTGAGGGGTGTGCCGAAATGGGTGTGGGGGACGCATGCGGCCGCGGGCACTGGGGCCTTCGGTGGAGCTCCCTATGGAGCCACGAAACGTGTGAGGGGTGTGCCGAAATGGGTGTGGGGGACGCATGCGGCCGCGGGCACTGGGGCCTTCGGTGGAGCTCCCTATGGAGCCACGAAACGTGTGAGGGGTGTGCCGAAATGGGTGTGGGGGACGCATGCGGCCGCGGGCACTGGGGCCTTCGGTGGAGCTCCCTATGGAGCCACGAAACGTGTGAGGGGTGTGCCGAAATGGGTGTGGGGGACGCATGCGGCCGCGGGCACTGGGGCCTTCGGTGGAGCTCCCTATGGAGCCACGAAACGTGTGAGGGGTGTGCCGAAATGGGTGTGGGGGACGCATGCGGCCGCGGGCACTGGGGCCTTCGGTGGAGCTCCCTATGGAGCCACGAAACGTGTGAGGGGTGTGCCGAAATGGGTGTGGGGGACGCATGCGGCCGCGGGCACTGGGGCCTTCGGTGGAGCTCCCTATGGAGCCACGAAACGTGTGAGGGGTGTGCCGAAATGGGTGTGGGGGACGCATGCGGCCGCGGGCACTGGGGCCTTCGGTGGAGCTCCCTATGGAGCCACGAAACGTGTGAGGGGTGTGCCGAAATGGGTGTGGGGGACGCGTGCGGCCGCGGGCACTGGGGCCTTCGGTGGAGCTCCCTATGGAGCCACGAAACGTGTGAGGGGTGTGCCGAAATGGGTGTTGATGATGATGATGATGATGATGGGAGGGGGGAGGAGGCAGCGGGAGGAAAGAAGGAAGGAAGGAAGGAGAACGCGGGGCACCGTCTCTTCAAAACGAGGACCCAACACCACAGGATGGTTGGGAAAAGCAGTGTTCTTAGAACGTGAGCCCGATGCGATGCGCTAACACAAGACACTCCCAACCAGAAATGCTCTAAGAACAGTTCGTGGAAGCCACGGGAAGAGGTTCCTAAAACATTTGTTTGGCAGGCCCATAGGCACGCCAGGGCGCTTCGAATTCGCCACTGCTTGACGGAGCGGCCATCTCGCAGCGTGGCGCCTCCATATCGAGAAGCGCGCGGACCTCCGCGGCGGCCCCGGGGCGCGCGGCGAAGCGAGCCCGGCGCGGCGGGGCCGCGCCCTCTGCCGGGGGGCAGCTCTTGGGGGGCCCCTGCGGGGCCGCAGGGCGGGGGCGCCCGCCCGCGCGTCTTCCGCGCCGCCCCGGCGCCGTCTGCCGCGCGCGCGCCGGCGCCCGCGTCCTGCGCACCCGGTTTGGTCCCGGAAGCGTCCGCAAAGCCATCGAGCGCCTCCCAGATGGAGGGATGGAAAAACGACCCTACCCCGGGTTACCAGTGCGTGGCCTGTAAACCTCCTGGGACCCCCCAAGGCCTAGAGAGCCGCCAGGACGCCGCACATCACGCAGGGTTGACCCTGTCAGCCCGCAGGAGTTTCAGCGCGCAGCGCCGCGTAAACCAAGGTAGGGGCGTTTTTAATGCCCTTGATCCCAGACATCTCCCGTGGGGCTCGCCGCCTCGCCGCTGACAGAAAAAACGTATCCAGGACTGTACACCACCTGTCCGGCCCCGCCGCCACGGCCAAATGCCAGAGGGAAAGGGGGGTTCTGGCAGCTATCTGCATGACGCATAGCCCCCTATTGGCGACCCCGCCTCTCTCGAGACCCCCCTGGAAGGAGGAGGAGGAGCATGAGGAGGTGGGGCGGGTGTGGGTGGATGGCTGTGGGGTTCCACCGGGTGCCGCGTCGCAGCCTTCTGAACCACGTCTCGAGCAGTCCAGGGCTGTCCGAGGGGGAGCTGAGTGGGCACTTGGAGGACAACCAATGACCCTGGAGGAGGAGGAGGAGGAGGAGGAGGAGGAGGAGGAGGAGGAGGAGGAGGAGGAGGAGGAGAAGGAGGAGGAGCATAAACTCAAGATTCATCAGCGATGTTGGGATACACCCTCCTCCAAGCTCCCCTCTCCGTAGACCCCATACAAGGATTCATTAAGGACTCACTTCTACTGAGGGACGTGCCCCGTTGGGGGACAATCGTGTGAAAATTCGGAAGCGTACCAACACACCCTCCTTAAGACTTCAACGCCATGAATCAACCTGACTGTTGCGTCTTGATGATCCTGAATCGCGCCAGAAGATCATTCCTGAGACTTTACACCGCGAACCAACGTAACTATTGCGCCCTGACAGTCCTGAATCGTTCGAACACACGATTTTTGGAAATTAACCCTGATAACCCGCGAAACTCGTGCACATGGGAAAACACACACACACACACACACACACACACACACACACACACACACACACACACACACACACACACACACACACACACACAACGCGCGCGGCGCTAAAACGATAACAACATTTTGAAAAGGAGCTGCCCTCAATCCGTGAAAGTCTTGCGCATTTTGACAACGAATGTTCGCGGCGCTAAGGCGAGAACCACATTTTGAAAACCACCCGCCCTCAATCCGCGAACATCTCGCAACTTTTTACAACGAGTATGCGCGGCGTTAAGGCGAGAGCCACATTTTGAAAACCACCCGCCCTCCATGTGTCAGACTGCTGCCAGCTTCTAAGCTTCATGCTCACACATGGTAAGGAAGTCCCAAGCGAAACGCCCGGCCCGCACTTCCGACCGGCCTCGGGGTGCGGCACGGAGGAGTTATTCATAAGGAATGATGATGAATGAATGAATGAATAACTCATGGAGTCCTGTGCCTACCTCTGTCTGACTGCCACAGCTCGCTGAAACAGAATTACAATCCAGAGAGAAGGACTCTGAGTCGGGCTGCTTCTGCACCCCCCAAACATCGTAGCGGATTCAACCAGCGCGCTCCGCTGGAAGCGGCACTGGCCCTACCTGCACCCCAATGGACGGGCGCGCAGCCCTAGGGGGCAGGCTCCGAAGGCACGGGGGTCCCGTCCACACCGCCCGCCCTCCCACGCCCAGAGTTCCACCGTTTCCCCTTGCCTTTGGAGCCCGCTTTACCTTTAGCTCTAAGGGCATATATAATTGGGGTCTGGGGCAGCGGGCCTGGAAGAGAGGAGGCAGCGGCATAGGTACAGAGCTGAGTGGGCGTATTCAGCACCTCAGGTGAAATTGAACCTCTAGCAACTAACTCCCGAAATCGCTCGCTTCCCGAAAAAGCTTCCTGAGCCCTGGAGGCCCTGGATTTTTTTGTTTTTTTATATAAAAAAAAATGTTTTATAAAAAATGCGCATAGCCCCGACAGGGGGCTGCTGGCTTGGCTGCTGCTGCTGAATTGCGCTGTCACTACCTAGTTTCGTCCTATTCGAATAAGACGAAATACCTGCTTCAGAAAAAGGTCCCGACGAGGGCTGGCTAGCTACTGCTTCTCTGGGAGGGTCTCCTGGGGGCTTGCTGCCTACTCCTTCTTCTCGGAGCCGACCATCGTGCCGATCTCGCGCTCCAAGGGGCCCCGAGGGGCCGCTCCCGACAAGAAGATCCCCCCCTCCGACTCCACCAGCGCCCCGAGCAGCAGGGATAGGTCGTGCCCGAGCTTCTGGTCCCTGTGGAAGCACATGCTGATGATCGCCTTGGCGGTCTCGCCGTTCTGAGGCTTGAGAATCAGGCTCCTGAAGTACGGGATCGACCTGCCAAGCTTCGCTGCCGTCACTCCCGCGGTGGATATCTCCTTCTCGTAGTAGGCCTTCGTGTCGTCCCTGAGTTTGACGTGCTGCGGGTTGCCACCTTCTTCGAACTGTTTGCTGGCGCCGTAGATGATCGCCGCCATCGCTATGGATACGTGTGGAGGTCCCCTGGCTTTGAAGTCCACCGTGTGGCCGTTCTTCTGCTGGTCTTTGAGTTCGGCGCTCACCTTGTTGTAATTCACTCCAGCCTGCTTGCACGCGGCCGCCAGCCCGATCGTGCCGTTCGGCAACTCGTGGCGAAGGTAGAGCGCGCCCTTCAGGTCGGCGACGTCCCTGGCGAGCGTCATCGTGAGGCGGGCGCTGGCGACGGCCAGCTTGTTGTTTCCTCCACCGCCCTGGCCTTGGCGGCTGCTCTTCCCTCGGCGACCGTCCTCGCCTGTTCCACCGTCTTCTCGTCCGTGCTTGGTCCCTGACGCCGCCGCCGACGGGGAGCTGAACCAAGAGGGTAGCGCCACGACGCCCTGCGATGCCATCCCGCCTCTGCTCTGGTACGGTAAACTCGCGAGGGCGAAATGGAAGGTGAGTGCACAAGTGATCGCACAAATCGTTCAAGCTCGAGCCCTCGAACTCGCAGACGGGGCACAAGTAGGACTTGACAGGAACTATCTCCCGAAGCGTGGAAGGGCCGACCGTGTCGCAATGGCCCCGAAACATAGACCCCATGACGTGTTTAGCTGCGTTGGCACGGCATGCAAATACTTGACGACAGTGTACACAGATATTGGTAGGTGTGATGACATGACATATATTTCTCAGCCCGTGCGTTCCCCGAAGATGATTCATCAAGTCCCGACGTGTCTTAAATGAAGCATCGCATTGACCTGACCCATTTTCCTCGTTGGGAAGCCAGCATTTCCAAAGAAAGTTTGCACTCGCATCTACCTCCTGCGGCTCCAGGTGCTCAGGTGGCGCCGGCTGGAACTCGGGAGGCGGGATGGCGACCGTGTACTGCCTCGCTCTGTAAGCCGAGGCGTCCACTGCAGAAAAGAAAGAAGCGGCCGCATCATCCATAAGTAATCTGAAATCGCGACACGCGAGGGTCAATCTCGTACGTTACTGCTTGCACGGCAAAATTGAAAAACATTTCGAATGTTGACGATTCGCACTGCGAATTTGCTGCCAATCGTGGCTTCGGGACGCGAGCATCGCGTAATTTACTTGGGATCCTAGCCTCGGGGACGCGAATGCAGGGTAATTACCTTGGTTTATGGCCTCGAGGACGCGAACATGGTAAATGCATTAGAAAGTATGGCTTCGAGGACGCAGCTCTGGCGAAATTTACGTGGGATCGTGGCGTCGAGGACGCTAATATTGTTTAATTTGCGGGGGGGCGTGGCCTCGGTGACGCGAATATAGCTTAATAGAAGAGGGCTCGTAGCTTCGAGGACGTGAGCGTTTTGTGGTTTACGCTAGGTTATGGCTTCGAGGACGCAGTCGGCTTCGGGGACGCGAGTATTTAGTTTACGGGGGATCGTGGCCTCGAGGACGCGAACATTGTGTAACTGACTGGGGATCGTGGCCTCGGTGACGCGAATATCGTGTATGTTACGGTGGTTGACGGCCTCGAAGACGCGAGAACTTGGTAATTCGCGATGCGAGGACGCAAACACGGTCTAAATTACAAAGGATCGTGGCTTCGACAACGCCAATCTAGAGTACATTACGGAGGATCGTGGCCTCGGTGATCCCCCCGCGACCCGGCCCGCGACCCACCCGCGACCAATCCCGCGACCCGCCCGCGACCCACCCGCGACCCACCCGCGACCCACCCCGCGACCCACCCGCGACCAATCCGCGACCCGGCCGCGACCCACCAGCGACCCACCCGCGACCCACTCGCGACCCACCCCGCGATACACCCGCGACCCACCCGCGACCCACCCGCGACCCAAACCGCGACCCACCCGCGACCCACCCGCGACCCACCCCGCGACCCACCGAAAATTTTCGGCGCCTGCGGCGGGTTTCTTTGCATTAGTTCCAGGTGGAGAACCTGCGACCCCGCGACCCAAACCGCGCCCGCGACCCACCCGCGACCCACCCCGAGACCCCCCTGGCGACCCACCCGCGAGCCACCGGCGACCCACCCGCGACCCACCCGCGACCCGCCCCGCGACCCACCCAAAATTTTCGGCGCCTGCGGCGGGCTTCTTTTGCATTCGTTCCAGGTGGAGAACCTGCGACCCGCCCGCGACCCAAACCCGCCCGCGACCCACCCACCGCGACCCACCCGCGACCCACCCCGCGACCCACCCAAAATTTTCGGCGCCTGCGGCGGGCTTCTTTTGCATTCGTTCCAGGTGGAGAACCTGCGACCCAAACCGCGTTCAGTGTACAAATCCAAATTTTCGGCGCCTGCGGCGGGCTGGTGGAGGTGGAGAGCCCGCGACCCACCCGCGACCCAAACTACGTTCACTGAACAAGCCAAAACTTCGGCGCCTGCGGCGGGCTGTTTTTGCATTCGTTCCAGGTGGAGAACCTGCGACCCAAACCGCGTTCAGTGTATAACTCAAAATGTTCGGCGTCTGCGGCGGGCTGTTTTTGAATTCCTTCCAGGTGGAGGTAGAGAGCCCACGGCCCACCCGCGAGCCAAACTACGTTCACTGAACAAGCCAAAACTTCGGCGCCTGCGGCGGGCTGTTTTTGTTTTCGTTCCGACGACGACGACGGAAAGGAGGAGGGGGGAGGATCGGGATGGGGGAGGAAGATGAAGAGAAGGAGGAGGAGGAGGAGGAGGAGGAGGAGGAGGAGGAGGAGGAGGAGGAAAAGGAGGAAGAGGAGGAGGAGGTGGAGGGGGAGGAGGCGGACGACGACGACGACGACGACGACGACGACGACGACGACGACGACGACGAGGACGCGGACGAGGAAGAGGAGGAGGAGGAGGAGCAGGAGGAAGAGGATGAGGAGGAGGAGGAAGGCGCCAAGAGCTGGACTCTGGCTTGGTTCAGGAAGCTCTGGATGCGGGACCGCAAGACCCCCTTTCCAGTGGCTTGTGGATGGAACATGGCAACCTCCTGTTTCTTGTTCGCTCGAGTCATCGGCTTGGGAATAAAGCGAGCACTCGCGCCAAACCTTGCACCAAACGCGCGACAACAAACACAAGCCAGATCAGCCAGGTTGCGTGGACCCCCATGCCAAGTGACTTCGTGGCGGCCAGGCAGCCCAAACTTGCCAGGACATTGCCGACTTGCATCAACGAGAGGAACTTGAGATCGCCGACTCCTGCGAGTAGCCCTTCGCAAGCCTGCGCCATACCGAGCACAGGAAATATTGCAGCTACGTAGGGAGCAAACGACTTGATCAGCGCGTGCAGTGTCTGGTCTGATGAGAACAGCTGAGGCGACCTCGCAAGGAGGACGGCTGTGATGGCCAGCAGAGAGCCTGCCTGAACAGAGATGCCTGCCAACACTTTCAAGAACTCCTTCGTCTTCAGTCTGCCGCCGACCTCTTGAAGTCCCTCGCGCGTCATTCTTGGAGGGACCGCGGTCCACCTGCACAAGCTAAGAAATAGAGTGGGGCAAACGGACAAGCGACAGAGACCCTCGTGAGGCCAGCAAGTGATCGAAATAGCTCAAGACCAACGCGTGCTGCGTATTTCGTACCTCTGGAGGGTATGTCTGGTTGTCCATTCGGCCTCAGCCCCGCAGTGTGGCAGGTGGACCGCGGTGGAAGGAAGACCTGCGCAGCCTGCTTGAGCGGATAAGTGGAAAATGCCAACACGCCCATGGGAGCCCACAGGGCTTGGAATGCAGCTGTAGAGGTCACCGTATACTGACTGGCCCTGAATTGAATGAAGCTGTAGCAGAGGGACAGGCCCATCTCGAAGAAGAACAGAGGCGCAGCAGTGGAGAACAACTGCCTCAGCTCGTGGGCTCGAGGTCTGCGACTGCGAATGGCCAGCCTCCCCTTCGACCTCGCCAGCAGCAGCATCAGCGGAAGAGATGCGACCTGGGCGAGGAGGGTGGCCCAGGCAGCGCCCACGGCCCCAAGCTTTGGGACCAGCACGAGGTCTCCCAGGATGTTCAAGGCGCACGCGAAGCTGATCACCTGCAGTGGCGTCAGCGCGTCCTCCTGGGCCAGGAGGCCTGCTTGGACAACCATCGATACGAGGACGGCCGGCTGACCCACGCCCCTCGTTGGCGACGCGCACAGGAGGGGTATGGGGGAGGGGAGACATCTTCTCAGAAGGAGGCTGCTTCTTAGAAGGCGCCAGCCTTACATCTCCAGGCAAGGCCCGCACCTTCTAAGAAGCAGCCTCCTTCTAAGAAGCCTCCCCCTCCAAACGGCCCTCTGCTCGATGATCCTCAGAACGTGTGTTGTCGCCAGCGCGTACTCGTCCGCCGCAGCCCCTTCGATGCGACGAAAGCGGCACTGTGAGGGCCGACGCAGGCCGCGTGCCATCGACGGGGCCGAGCGGACCAACACACACATCAGGCCAACACACGCCGCGAGGACCGTCGACCTGCTACGGCCCCCTGAGGCCCTTCAGCTCAGAGATCTGGCACTTCAGCGTCTCCGTGGCCACTGGGGAAGCGAGGATTACTGAACTGATGAATTTCGGTATGTGCCAGGACACCGAACTTCATCAGTTCGGTAAGCCTCGCCTCCCCAGTCGCCATGGAGACGCTGAAGTGCCAGATCGCTGAGCTGAAGGATCTCGGGGGGCGCACCTGCGCGCGGCCGACCTCACTCGCAGGTACTGCGACGCGAACGGCACCAGCTCGGGGACGCAGCCCGTCGCGGCGACGAGCGGCGCCGCGAGCGCGGCCAGGAGGCCCCCGACGAGGAGCCCGCTCGAGAGGGCCACGGCCACCGCGGCGGACAGGGTGCCCGCGGCCGCCTCTCGATCGCCCGCCGCCAGGGCCCTCGCCACCAGCACGCACGAGGCCGTGTTGAGGAAGAAGAAGAAGCTCGGTGACTGCCAAGAGGTGCCCCCCGGCCCAAGGGGCAGCAGCTCCGCTCGGGCGGGCGAAACTCGGCCGGGCGCAGCTTTAGGTCGGGCATGTCCCCCTACAGGGGGAGTTCGGGCGGAAAATGAAAACTTTGTCCACACATGCCCAGAAACGTAATCAGAAAATCTTCGAAACATCGTCCCCAGACTATTTTTTGACTTACTTTTGAATGTTCCTCCTGCAGAGGGACAGGCCCGACTTAAGCTTAGCTCGGCCAGCTGACCTTGGCCAGGCCGAGTTCAGCCTGACCGAGTTCAGCCTGGCCGAGCTCAGCATGGCCGAGTTTCGCCTGGCCGAGTCTTTCCCTTTCGGGCGTTGACAGAGCTGGGTTTAGTGGGATCTGGTTTAGTGATGTGCACTGGGGGGCGCCCCCCCCGCCCCGTTCCACTAACTGGAACTGCCGTCACCCGAAAAACACCAGCAACGGCAGACCTGGTACAGTGATTCTGGCCAATTTAGGGGCTCCGGGGCCCTACTACTAATAACCAGGTCCCCTTACCTGGAGTCCTGGCTGTACCCGACCCTTGTCCAAGGGGCAGCCAGCTCCATCTTGGAGCCTCTGGGGACCCCTGGGCCGCGCGAGGGGTGCTCTGGAGGCCGCGGGGGTCTCCTGGGCAATCCTGGGGGCAATTGCCCTGGGCCCGGGGCACGTCTGGCAACACCCGAGAAGTAGCTGCAGAAGTTGAACACGGCCAGCGCCGGGCTGAGGGAGGCGAGCTGTAGCGTGGAGCACTTGCCGACGCACGCGGCGTCCACCACGCTCATGAGCGGGTCGGCCAGGACGGTGGACAGGGCCGGCGCGCCAAACTGCAGCACCTCTGCGCGCACCTGCCTCCTCCACTCCCTCCGTTCGTGGGCGCTCGTCGGCTGCGCGGCTCCCGCTGCCCGCGCCCTGGGACCGCGCGGCCGGTGACAGGAAAAGAAGAAGCAGCTGCATTAGCATGGACTTTCGGAGCTCCGCGCGGATTTCTTGGCTCGGCGCTTGACCCCCCTGGCGGCGCCTCTGGCGCCGATCCGAGAACTCCGCGCGGATCTGCAGAAACGCATGCTCCTGCACCTTGCTTTTCTTCTAGGCGATGCTGACGCAGATGCCGGCTGGCCGATGCGGGACCACGCGCGTGAAGGGGAACCTGCGGCTTCGGCAGCAGCAGCGGCAGCAGCAGGAACATGACCACCCCTGGGCGGGGCGGGCCGAAAGACCAGAGGGTCGACACTCGGGGAACAAGAAGTGACATAAACATAAAAACTCGGAGGTCCGCGCGGATTTCTCGGATCGGCGCTGGGGCCCTCCCGGCGGCGCCTCCGGCGCCGCCCCTGGCGCGCTCCGCGCGCCAGGGAGGGGGTTCCAGCGCCGATCCGAGAAATCCGCGCGGACCTCCGAGTTTTTATGTTTATGCCACTCCTTGTTCCCCTAGACAGCAGTGCAGGTGGGCAAGCTTGGGGTCAAGATCAAGAGCTCGATGGAGAACGGCCAAAACAGCGGGGTTTGGAGGGGCCTGGCTGAGCTGCGCTGCGCGGCGCCGCGCGGTGCTGCGTGGCGACGGCGCGTGGTGCCCGTCGTTGGTGGCCCCGGGGCCCGATGACGGGCCCCGGAGGCAGAGATCGAGGAAGAGCGCCGGCATCGGAACATCACGTCGGCGGAGATCCCTCCTCCTCCTCCTCCTCCTCGATCCTCCTGCTCCTCCTGCTCCTCCTGCTCCTCCTCCTCCTCCTCCTCCTCCTCCTCCTCCTCCTCCTCCTCCTCCTCCTCCTCCTCGATCCTCCTCCTCGATCCTCCTCCTCGATCCTCCTCCTCCTCCTCGATCCTTCTCCTCCTCGATCCCCCTCCTCTTCCTCGATCCTCCTCCTCCTCGCTCCTCCTCCTCCTCCTCCTCCTCCTCGCTCCTCCTCGCTCCTCCTCCTCCGTTGCCGCGTGGCTCCCCGGGCCCGACTCGGGTGCCCTGCGGCGGGGCCGTGCGCAGCGCAGTCTGCCGTCGGGCTGCCGGGGGCTCCGTCTGCCGGGTGCCCGCCGCGGGGGCCCCCCCCCCCCGGGTGCACCGAGGGGGGCCCTCGGCTCCTCGACGGCCCTTCGCGTTGCACGCGGGCGCTGGGTGCGGGGGGGGGGGGGCGATGCTGAAGGGGCTCGAGGACGCACAAATGACTACACACAGGGAACAGGGTTCCCTCGATGTTTTCCTGCTTGTTGCGTCTTCGTCTTCCCCCCCCCCTTCTTCCCATATCTTCCCATTTTCTGTAAGGAATCGACAACTCATGGTGTCTGTGTGTTTCTTCCCCTCCTGAGATACATGGGGGGGGGCAAGCAAGGTGCCCTGCTCGGGCCGTACAGGGCTCCTGTTCTGCAGCATTCGCTGCCCCCCCCCCCACTCATCGCCCCCCCCCTCTTTATTCGTTCGCGCCCAGGGCAATACAGTCGGGCCGCCGAAAGAAGGAACGCTAAATAAGGAACGAAGCCCCTTCTTGGCCCTGTACGCGCCGCCTCCGTGCCCCAGGAGGGCAAGAGGAACAGCACTGGAGGAACCCAAGGAACATCGAGCCCCTTCCGATTCCAAAATGTTCCTTCTTTCAACGTCTTGACTGTACCATCATGGATCCTCTGGGCCGGGGCGCTTCTGGGCCAATCCTGGCCCCTGACGCCGCCCGAGGGTGGCCCAGGCCGTCCTGGAGGCCGCGACGTCCAGCTCAAGGGCAGCAGATCGTCCAAGCACTCCAGATGATGGTCTGTGTTGCCATTTTTTCTCGTTCCCGCCTCTTGTCTTCTCAAGAACGTCCAGGACGGCCCAAGGCAAGTCTCTGGATGCCTCCGGAGCCTCTGCGGGTCCTCGAGGCCTGTGGAGGCCCAATCAGAAAGCAGTGATCGCCTCAGTCCCCGAACCTCGAGAACCTCCGTCACCGACTCCTCCGCCCAGATTCCCCCCCCCACAGAATCCTCACTTCGGAATTTCCCTGCTGAGCCCTGTTGGGGTCCGATCCGGAGTGCTCTCCTTGGCGGCGCGCACAAGGGGGTAAGGAGGGTGGAAAGCTTCTTAGAATGAGGCTGCTTCTCAGAAGGCGCCGGCCCTGTATCTATAGAGAAGACCCGCGCCTTCTAAGAAGCAGGGGTGCTTCTAAGAAGCCTTCCCCCCTCCCCCTACCCCCCTCTGCGCGTGGCCGATTTCTGGGGGGAGACATTCATTCCACTCTGGAGATCAGTCCAGAGCAACCTGTGATCCAGCGGGAGGCCCAGAGCTTCGGACGGCAGCTCTTCGGCCGAGGAGGGGCGACAAGGAAAGGAACAAGGAAGATGATGGGATGGGGAAGGGGCGGGACGAGGAGCGGGAGGAGGAGGAGCGGGATGGAGACGGATCGGGAGGATGGGGAGGAAGCGAACCGCAGGAACACGCGGTGGGCGATCATGATGATAATGATGTTAATGATGATGATGTTATGATGTTAGGATGTTATGATGATGACGATGATGCAGATGAGGCTGATGATGGTGATGATGTCGACGGCGACGACGACGATGCTGATAATGATAATGATGATGATGATGATGATGATGCTGATGCTGCTGATGATGATGCTGATGAGTATGGTGATTATACTGATGATTGTGATGACCATGATGCTGCTGATGATGGTGATGATACTGATGACGATGACAATGAGGCTGGTGATGATGATGATGATGATGATGATGATGATGATGATGATGATGATGATGATGATGATGATGCTTGTGGTGATGATGATGATGATGATGATGATGATGATGATGGTGAGGATGATTACGATGATTGTGATGATGATGTTGATGATGGTGATGATGCTGCTGATGCTGAGTATGCTCATGATGATGATGGTGATGATGATGATGACGATGATGATGACGCTGATGTTGATGGTGATGCTGACGGTGATGTTGTGTGGGGGAGAGACCTCGTCAGTTAAGGTCCAGTGAGGGAGGCGTACCTGTCACCGTTTCCATCGTCCTAATTACCCTGCTCCTCCTCCTCCCTCCTCCCCCCTCCTCTTCTCGTCCTCCGCCCTCCCCCTTCCTCCATCATTCTCGGAGGGGATCGTGCGCTTCCGAGAAGCGTTATTGGAAGGCAACAATGCTAGAAGGAAGCCCCTGCCTCCTCCCTCCTCCCTCCTCTTCCATTCCTCGTCCCTCCTTCCCCCCTCCTCCCTCCATCACTGGCTTCCATCCCTCCTCCTTCCTCCCTCCCTCCCTCCTCTCTCCCCTCCCTCGTCCCTCCCTTCTCCCTTCTCCCTCCTCCCTCCTCCCTCCATCACTGGCGTCCATCCTTCACTCGGGAGATCGAAGAAAATCCCATCCAATGAGAATCACATAAATGGATAATCTTGACCTCGCTCAAGCGTGAACGCTGAGATATCGGAGGGCATCTTTTCACCTGAATCCCACCTGCCCTTCAGGGCGTAGGTGGTTTTGGGAATCTCCTATTCCACCCCCCTTCTTCCCCATCGGGGAAGGGTTTATCACTGTTCCCTGTTAATGTACACCCCCTCCCCCAGGCGACCGGGAGCCAACCAGGGTCAATGCGGGCCCCCCACACCATCCCTTGTAAAAAACAATGCAAGACACACTCTGCCTCCAAATTCGGAACATGCGCAGCGAACCCGATGCGGCCTCCCCCCACCCCTCCCTGTCAAAAACAATACAGAAAACACTTCGCGTCGGCGGCGGTTGCGGCGGGGGCAGCGGCTGCGGGGCCAGCGGCGGCGGCGGCGGCTGCGGCGGCGGCGGCGGCGTCGGCGGCGGTGGCGCGGCGGCGGCGGTTGCAACGGTGGCGGCAGCGGCTGCGCCGGCAGCGGCTGCGGCGGCAGCGATCCGGCAGCGGGGGCGACGGCGGCGGCGGCGGCGGCGGGCGGCGCGACGGCGGCGGACGGCGGCGGCAGGCGGCGCGGCGGCGGCGGACAGCGGCGGCGGCGGCGGCGGCTGCGGCGGCGGGCGGCGGCGGCGGCGGCGGAGGCGGCAGCGGCGCACTCGCCCCCAGTAGCTGTCCATCCAAAGACGACTGCTGAATATGCTGAGGCTCGGGCCAGGCTCAGGTGCTACGTATGTGTTGGGAGGGCGGGTGGGAGTGAGCGAGACGGCTTGCTGGCGGGGAGGGTGTCTTGACCCCTCCCCCTACCCCCTCCCCTGGACCTGGACGGGGGGTTCCGCGGGTAGCTGGAGCGTCCAAAACGGCCTCGGCGAGGAAACCCAAATCATTGGTTTTACTAGGGTTTTGGCCCCGTTTTGGCTTCCTGGAAGGGGGACCGTAATCACGGACCACCCCTTCTTTGATCGATCTCCTCTGAGATGGCCCCAAAAGCGCTCTCAAGGCTCTTAAGGGTGCCCCAATAGGGCCCCAAGAGGTGACCAGGAGGCCCCAAGAGGCCCCAAAGAGGCCCCAGGATGTCCCCAAGAGGCCCCCAAGAGACCCCCAAGAGGCCCCAAGAAGCCCCAAGAGGCCCCCCCGAGGCACCCAAGACGCTCCAAGAGGCCTCGGCGACAATGCCATTTTTTCGTTTATAGTGTGTTGGTCACATTTTGGCCTCCTGGGGGGGGAGCGCCTGGGAGAGCCCAATATGACCTCCAAGATGGCTCAAGATATCCCAAGATGCCCCAAGATGGCTCTCACGATGCTCCAAGAGGCCCCAAGACCGCTCCAAGACTCCAAATGGCCAAAGAGCTACCCCAGGAGGTCCAGAAGAGGCCCAAATCCTTCCAAAACCTTTGGGGGATCAATGTGTTTGGCTTTCTCGCCTTTTCGCTTCCGAAGGCCATCCGAGGCCTCAAGACGGCGCCAACATGGCCCAAGAAGGCCCCAATAGAGGTTCAAGGGGGCCCCAAGACGGCCCCCAAAGGGCCCACGAACGCTCCAAGAGCGCCCCATGAGGCGACTTTTGGGGCCCCCGATGGGGCAACGCTATTGAATGCCCCCCTCTTGTTTGATCGATGTCCTCCAAGATGGCCCCAGAAGCGCTCCCAAGGTCCCCAAGAGCGCTTCAAAAGGGCCCCACGAGGCGCCCAGGCCCCAGGAGGCTCCAACAGGCGGCCAAGAGGCCTCCAAGAGGCCTCCAAGAGGCCCCCAAGAGACCCCCAACAGGCCCCAAGAAGCTCTCCGAGGCACCCAAGACGCTCTAAGAGGCGTCCGGGACCGCCAAGAGGGCCCCAAGACGCCCCAAGAGGCCTCCATTGGGGGGCCCTTCCTCTGTGTGCTGCCC